GCCCTCTGCTGCCACCTGCCGTTTGTTTAGCAGAATACAGGTGATCGTGGATGCCTCGACATGTCATTTTTCATTAAATAAATGTTTTTGATTATACTCACATTGGGGCTGTGTGTGTGTTGCTCACACACACAGTTGTTGGTTGTATGCCTTATCTTATGTGACTAGCAGCTAGATGCCTGGGTTTACTTTTTCCCATTTGCTGATTTGTTTTAATGCCATCATCTATAATAACCCTTAACTAGTAACATTTGATCTATGGGATGCAAAAAGTATTTTTGATTTAACTGAAAAGTCTAATAGTGAAGATTTGGTTCAAATTATTCATACTTTCGTTCTTTTTCATAGAGAAAGCAGATATAAGCTTGATCTGCGTCTATTTATGTGAATTTAGTTTAGGGATATTAAGGGTAGTTTCTTTCAATGTTCAGTTTAAGATAAACCTGGTAAAGGGGTTTTACAGCCTCTCGCCTCAGTTTTTTCTGGTTATTCCAATTATCAAGAAGGAAAAAACAATCTTGAACTTTAAATGTTTATTTTTTAATTAGACTGTCCCATGAATTAACCAACCTGTTTAATTCTGCATCTCTTCTGAATTACGGATTATTAATTACTGAATAATTATTTTGGAAAAAACTCATCAGTTTCCATAGAGAAAACTGGTTTATCATAAGCAATGCAATTATTTATCCCTTAAAAAAATACAGTACTATTAAAATGTTCAAATAAAACATTATAAATGAGAAAACACTTATAAAAATAACAAACTGCTGTTTCAGTGGGCTGTTTATTTGCTTCAACCGTCTCAAGAGAGCTCATAACTGACCAGTGGATGAACTCCTCTGAAACACTGACCCATTAGACTGGGAAAAGAGGGCTTTTACTGTAATCTTTATCCAGATTCCCATTAGTTCCTAGAAAGTGGTTGCACAATGCACTTTTGTGTGTAGGATAGGGTATTTGCCACTGATGCTTTTACATGGAGTTGATGGTGATAATGAGAGCTGTTAACCCAAAGACAATTGCAGGCTGGAAGCTCCCTTATTCTTTTTTTCTCTAGTCGGGAAGATCTGGATCAATACAAATCTTTTTGAAGAGTTCTGCCTTTTCTGTGTTTTTTTTACTCCTCTCTGTCTAGTTAATACCTCTATCATGTCATATCACTTTCACATAAATGAATCAAAGCGTGTGCGTGTACATGCACGCCTACTCACGTGGGGGATGCATAGATCTTTCTACGCAGTCATTCCAAAGAGAACCACCTTCGTTTGACGACGAAAGTAAGCAATCAAAAAAACAGATGGTAGTATTTCTTGGTCGTAATTTTGTTAATTGACTGCAGATAAATTTACAAGTTATAATTGTGTGTTTACGTTTCAGTGTGTGCACACAGAGCACAATTTTGAAAATGAATAAGGATATATAAAACAAGCAGGTGTCTTTTCTACCCAAATGCAGACAAGGCAGATGACTGGGGGCAAAAACACAAATTAATTTACAATAATAATAATAATGACCTTGCGATGGACTGGCGGACTGTCCAGGGTGTACCCCGCCTCTCGCCCACTGACCACTGGGATAGGCTCCAGTTCTCCCGGCGGGCCCCATTAGGGAATAAGCAGTAATGGATGGATGGATGGATGGATGGATGGATAATAATCATGATATAACGCACAGCATGTGCAACTCAGAAAAAAAAAGTGAGACAAAACACAGATGAGCCACAAAAGATGCCGGTCAAAAGCACAAACGTGGAAACCTTGCGGCAAAGAACATATGGTGACAACAGTGTGGGATCTGAGAAAGAGTGAGAGAAAGCCTAGAGCTTCTTCACTGGAGGGGATGATGGCTGCGTGGTGGGAATGACCAAGATCTACTTACAAAACAGAAGACCAGGAGTAGGGAAAAAAACAAGCATACAGGAAGAAATCCTTATCATTCAAATAAAAATACAAGAAACTATCCAGAAATCCCAAAAAGCCAACTGTTCCCTTTGTCCTCATGAACAATGTGAGATTACTGGAAGATAAAATGCTAGAGTTTGGAGAAGAAAGGGGGATAGAATGGAACAGTACAGACATGGCTGCTGGAATAGAATTTGAATTCCTGACCCTTCTGCCTGTGGACAGAGGCCAATAGTCCATAATTAGGATCTTCATTAAATGTATATGTTTGGTGAAAAAATGTGCATTTAGATGACAACAAGGTTGAATCTAGAATCATGTGATATGTTTAATGTGTTTAGAACTCAGGAAGTGGGAGCTGGATTGCTGTGAGATGAAGTATCTTTTTGTATGGAGCAGGAAAATAAAAAAGACTTTGGAGACAGACTTTAGTCTCCTTTTTCTTTCAAAGCTGCTTAGAGGTTCTTTTCTCCATACAATTGCTTTTTCCATTTAACCTCAAGAGAGAAAGAAATCGAAGGACATTTTAAACTTTTTGGCCATCATCCCACGAGAGTCCATTACACACTTATCGTCATAAGTGACTGATTCTCATGGTAGATTTCGGTCAGACTCAAAAGTCTCCTGAAGAAGGCAGCTTAAGTGAATTTGCATGAAACATTATACACTAGATTTGGTTTGATGTGTTTATTTAGGATGGATTATATGTGGAGGATGTTATGTTGGGCTTGTACTCAAAATGGCTTCTCTCATTCACTGCTATCAACTTAATTCATAGTGGATATATTGTATTTTAAATAAAATGTTGCTGTCAAACTCTGAAATAAATGCGAATATCTAATTTGAATGCTTTCAAGCCTTACGTTGAATTAAATGTAAGTGCAAAATGTACAGATCAGTATCTGGTCTGAAAAGGAAAGGCTAATAATTTCGCATTTTACTTTGTCCAATCTTATGTCTTTATAAGTATTTAAAACAAGAACATCCAGTTCATATTAGAAAATGAATAGCATAATATTTTTTTTTTAAATCAGACAAGTTCAAATCATTCTTGTCCGGTTTTGATGGGTTTGATGCGAGATGCAGCTGAATTGTCAGACCCCTTATTTGCAGTTTATATTCAACTTTCATCCAAATATTTATTCACAAATTGCATTTCCTGTAATTAGCTTCTAATTAGCTTCTAGTTCTGACCTTAAGCTTCTTCTCTAATGGAGTTGATCGGAGCCCTGTCCTCTGATAACCCACGCCTTTGACAAACACGGGGATGAACACAATTCCATTTGAAGCAGAAACCCACTTGTTACGCTAAACAACACACCACCAGGCAGGTTTATTTGATAGTTGGCTTTTTCCTTTTTTACAATCAGAGAAATATTGTTTTTGAGTAAATGGTGTTGAGATGTTAAAACGAATCTTAAAGTAAATGATTCTACTAATCTTGGTTCCCTGTAGTCCTTTACAACCTCAACTTCCTATTAATGGATAGTTACAGTGGGGGAAATAAGTATTTGACCCCTTGCTGATTTTGCCCACTTACAAAGAATGCTTATTTTTCCTCATCAGATGGTTATCAATTTTTATAAATTCATATGATGTGATTTTCTGGAATTTTCTGTGGGATTCTGTCTTTCACTGTTAGAATGTACATATGATTAAAGTTTTAGATCGTTGCATTCTTTGTAAGTGGGCAAACCTGCAAAATCAGCAAGGGGTCAAATCCCCCACTGTATATAGTCTGGCTCATTCCGAGAAATCAACTCCAAAAAGCTCGCTTTTGTCTTTTTCCCTTTCAGAATTTGTGTTTTGAATAAACTGAAACGCAATTTCTGTGAAATCTAAACTTTTTTAAGCACGGAATTAAGAATTTTTAACATTAAAACTGGTTCTTAAACTTATTTTGTAGGAATAAGGAGAAGGGTTTTTTTTGTTTTTTGTTTTTTTACAGTGTGGACTGCCCAGCTTGGAATTCAATCAGACTTTGATTGGTGCACTTTCATGCATTTAACAGTGGGAGGGAAGCTATAAGGAGGCATTAGGATACTGGACGTCATCCAGCCAGATATTAATGAGATTCAGAAATAGAAAAAAAAAAAGACAGCAGAATAGATTAGCAAGTGAGGACAAATCAGAAAGCTTAGCTGGTCATCGGGATGCTTGAGTGAGAGGAAGTGAGCCAGAGCTGGACACTGGAGGATCTGAGCCACAGAGATTTTGGAGAAAACTCAGAAGAGTGAGGATCCAATATCAAGCTTCTGCTTTCCCTGCTGGACCTAAAACATCATTTGTTTGACTCTTTTTCCTTTTTGAGGGGAGATTAATCTGAAAATTGCTGTTTGGATATTGGAGCTCACTTTCAACCTTTTTGTCCGATTTTCTGTGATCTACCGGATATACCCATCCAGGACTGACCTGTATTTTCTCTACTGCTAAAATGTGGTCGTGCATAAAAGACTTCTTCACCTATGAAACCACTAAATCGGTGGTTGTGAAGAGCTGGACCATTGGCATCATCAATCGTGTTGTCCAACTTCTGATAATTACATACTTTGTTTGGTGAGTGTATGGTGGATTATTTGCATTACTCTGTTTGCATTTAACATCCATATGTATGGTTTTTATGATAGGGTAAACAATTAATGATATATTTTAAAGACCCGGAAGTCAAATGACAGAATTTTAAGTGTAGTTGGTGATGATAAGTAGTTTGAAAGAAATGCATAGTCTTTTCCACCTTTCAAATAAATCGGTTTTAATAAAAATGGTCATTAGACATGTTTATAGACACGATAACATTTTTACACAATTGAATAGTGTTAGTTAAATAAGCTTGACCATTTCTGTCAATTACATTTTATTAGCTGTTCATGAATCACCCAGTAGCTCTTCATATAGTCTGAGTTACAATCATGGAGTGGTAACCTCCGAAAACAGAAGTGTAACAAATATATTGAACAAGTTTTATTGACAATGTCTTTCAATCTAACTTGGTGTGGGAGCATGTAAACAGAAAAGATGATGTACAAAAATTTGCCTTCGAAAAGACCAACGCCCAAAGATGTTACTGAAGGAATTCTGCTCAAATATATTTGATCTTCCAACGAGAAAAGAATGAGAAAATTATTTAACTCCATCAATACAGTAACGCAAACTAAGAACAAATGCTATTCACTATATTAAATCAGATTTGTTACAATTAATTCAAAATAGTGTCATTTTTAGAATTCAATAGACACTATTTGTCAAACCTGTAATGGCTTATTGCTCTCTCCATTTCATTATCATTTCAAGCTTTTAACCTAATTTCAAACCTTTTTTAACCAAGGTTTGAGGCATTAACCTTTAACCAATGTGCCTTTGAGGTAAAAGACGGCACATGGAACACAACATGGTAACACAAATGACAGTATTCACTGCCATAAGACATCACAACGTGCACATAAGAGCCTGATTTGGCTAGCTTTGGTTAATTGCTGTCACGTAACTGATTATGACGTGATTATTGAAATGTTCCTGTTTGTGTGTGTGTTTGTAGTTGGGTATTTCTCAGCGAGAAGGCCTATCAGATAAGAGACACGGCCATCGAGTCCTCAGTGATGACCAAGGTGAAAGGTTTCGGTATCTACAACAACAGGGTGATGGATGTGGCAGACTACGTCACTCCCACGCAGGTATGGATGCATCTGCGGGTTAATGAACGAGGGTTTGGACTCTTAGACGATGTGATTCGTGGCGTACCAATGCTGCCCATCGCTTTTTTTGCAGGGGGCCTCGGTCTTCTGCATCATCACAAAACTGATCACCACGGAGAACCAGGTCCAAGGACTCTGTCCTGAGGTCAGTTGGCATCACTTTCCAGCTTTCCTGTACTCCTTTTTTTTTCAGAGGCTCGAGATTTCTGGATGCTGAACACGTTTTACATGTACGGCTTTAACATGTCTTTTCAAATCCGGTTACAGCAATCTCAGGTAGATGCCTTCCGAGAATAAGATAAGATAAGATAAGATAAGATAAGTTAAGATAAGATAAGATAACCTTTATTGATCTCACAGTGGAGAAATTCACTGGTCACACATCGGTTTAGTGATTAAAGAAGGTGCAAACAAGGAGGAAAAGGTGCATAAAGAATAAACAATAAAAATAAATAAAAATACAGGGGAGTAACACAGATATTTGAGGTGACATATGTACAATCAGGATGGCTTATATACAGTATACATATTGCACAGGTTATTGCACATGTCAATAAATAAAATATAATTGCACAGTAGTTGTTATAGTGCAGCATTGTATAGTCTTCTTCTCAGATGTATAGTCAAATAATGTAAATGTATCAAAAACAGGATTAGGAGGGATAGCTCACAATGTCAAAAGTCAGCACAAGATCAAAGGGTTTGACTCAGACAGTGAATAAGAATCTGTCCACTCTGAGAAATTCCTATTTGATTTAACAGTGGGCAGCTATTAGAAAGCCATTTCCTTGTGTATATGTGGGCTTTTATGTTTTTAATTTACTGAAGTGGACCCTGGTGCATCATGCAATAAAAAAAATCTGCATAGTTACATACTGTTAAAGAGAAGCTGAGATAGGGTAAAATAAATCAAGGGGTTGAATGAGCTGTATTTACAATCCAATTCATTGTACTACAATCATAATCAATCAAATCATTTTAATTTCAAATTAGTATAGCTCATACAAGGCAAAGAAATGCTTGGAAATTATGCATTATTAATACTTTATATGTGTATTTGTGCCCTGCCCAGAGCGAGAAGAAGTACATTTGTACCCAGGACAGCGAGTGCAAAAAACTCCTCAACAAACCGGGAGGTTATGGTGATACCTTTTGTCTGTCTTTTTTATTTATTTTTTGTGTCTGTTTCTATACATTTATGTGTACATCGCGAAATGATTACATTCACATATATAAACGATCCCAACCATTATTATTTGACACTCCCAGTCTCCCTCCTATTCAGACCTGACAAACCATATGGTCAGTACCTTCTCATCAATGGGCCTCATTTCCCAATATCTTCCCGTGACTTTTCCTAAATCACTCCTTAATGAATTCTTAAGGCATTTATGAAGGGAATCATGTTCTTAGACCCCAAAATATTAATTTCTTTGCTTCCAATGTGATGAATAAGACCCTCGGGTCTAGTTAAAGTGACCATGCCCATATAACGTGTACTGGGTCTGGGTCAGTGGTGTTATTAACCATAGGTCAGGGCAAAAACATCACCATGACACACTTCTGTTGTAGAATAATTGAAAGTTGTGTAGCAAGTCATCCATCATCTGCTGCTACTTGTTTAAGGAGGAAGCAGCTCTTATGAAGCGGAGGACCTCAGTCGTGCGGTTGTTATGGGAGTCAGATATTTATCGAGTGCTTGTGGTTGGGGAGTGGGAATTGACCTGGATGCCTTCATGTCCATGTGCTGTTGCACCGGCGCCGGTTTTTATAGAAAAATCTATAACAGAAGCGAGTCCCCTCCTGACTGTGGCTTGTTCTTTAGCCGCTAGCGGTGTGCTGGCTCCAAATAGTACCACAGATCCCGACGACTGCTCTTGTTAGCTAATGTTGCTGTTAGCCCGATTCTTTAGTTGGAAGCCTGAGAATAAACTAGAGCAGATCAAGAGTACAAATATGACATTTATTGGTCTCAAGCAAAGTAAATCAGCGTTGGGCTTTTAAAGACAAAGCTCCCAGAGGATCTCAGTTGGCAAGAGCCTCGATTTCCGATTGCCATGGACAGTTATCCGAGCGAGTGTTATTGGCCAGTTAGCTCTGACGCGAACAGGCCAGGCCCTAATTCATGCAGGTTTCGGTGGAATGTGATAAGAAAGTGTGTGTGTGAATGTTGACCATGAAGACGTGTATCTCCTGTAACAGAGAGAGGAGGAGGAGGCACAGTCAGAGAGTTTAGCCCAAAACTATAATTCTAAAGGGAATTATATAAATCTAAAAAGGAATAATACAATCAGTCATTTACATGGATTAAGTTATGACATACTATGCTAAAGTGAGTCATTATAGCCCAATTCTAACATTGTTAAAACATTGGCCTCTGTCTCTCTCTCTCTCTCCAAATAAATCATCAAGTTTATCGTCGTGTCTCCTGAAGTGAACACAGCTTAGAGAAAAGTCCCCAAGTCTGTGGTCTCCACATCCTCTCGAACTGTAAAGGATAATAAATATACGTTTGCGCCATCCTCCTTTGAAACCTGTTTTGTGCGTATCATTTGGATGGCACAGGTTGGGTTGGTTGCTTGCTGCCATCAAGTGTGGATTCAGGATAACTGCAGCTTTCTCTGGGCTGCTTTAAAACAGATTTGTGGTGCCTTGGAGCTTTCAATGTGATTTATCTGGGCTGTGTGTTCAGAATCACTGCTCTGCTTTCTAAATTATTCACATGCTCATTTTGCAGTGGTTTCTTGGGATGTCCTTTTAAAAAACAAACTTATGCGCGCTCTCCATTCACATTATCTGTGGTATTGCAAGATTTATGGATAGTTGTTGTCTTGTTACAGTAACGGGTTCCAATCACTGCTTTGGATGATAGATAAACCACATGCGCCACTTCGAGGGAAAATGTTAATGCTGGGCTTTAATGCTGACAGTCTGTCATGTGTTTTCCTGCATGTTCCTGCCACAATGTTCACTGATAATCACTAATAGTTGTGTTTGACATGACACAAACTCTGAGCCCGGATGCTGATATAAGTTTGTGGCAGAATGTTTCACGATTTGGTTAAATCTAAAAATCCATCATGTCGCAAAAGTCAGTGTTTTACAAACGGAATGGGGGTGTCCCTGGCCGGTTAGTGGCTTTTTTTGTGCAGATACATCTTAATATATGCATATATACACACTCACACACCTATAGGTATACTGTGTATATGTGTGTGTTTTCCTTTTGCTTACAGAATTTTTCTGCTTCTTCCCAGGAATTCTCACAGGGAAATGCGTTCCTTTCAACAGCACGGTCAAGTCGTGCGAGATTAAAGGGTGGTGTCCGGCCGAGATTGATACCATCAAGACGTAAGATGACGCTCGCGTGATCAAAAAGCGGTTTCTACAAGGCTGAGCTACGGTTGCACAAAAAATAAGCCAATAATCATTAACCCCGAGACCCGAGAGAGGGCCATATGACAAAATTTGAATCACACCAATAGAGACATGATGGTTTGCAAATGTGTGAAGCCATTTTAATTTAGATTTCAAGCCTTAATGGATGAATTATTTCAAAGTGTGACATTAGGTTTTTTCCGGTGAAAACAAGGTAGTTAAGTGCTCTTAATTCTTAAAACTGCTATGTTGCTCTCTCACATCTAAAGATGTTCACCTTTAACCCTGTAATGCCAAATGTGTCATATTTGATACATACGGTTTCTGAAATGTTTTGTGTCTGACACCTTTTGCATAATTTAATGGTAAAAACTTTGCTCAAAATCCTGTTGTACACAATCAGATATACCGGATAACAGGGGGCAGAAGACTACACAAAAAAGAATCTTGACTTATTGCATAATAATAAATTATTAATATTAAAGATGTATTTCTGTTTTTTCTTTTTACATATTTTGTTAAAAGGCCAAATAAGGAATTCAAACAAAAAAAAGAAATTTTCTGTTTTGTTTAATTCTTGGATCAGGCTTTAAAGGGTTAATAACAAATGCTGTGTTCCATTCAAGTTGACACCCAGTGATGAAGAGGTAGTGTGTCCCTGGTGTGTTAAGAACAGTGTATACCATGCGTACATATGCATTTCTGAAGCTTAACATTTCTAAGTTAAGTGTGTCCAACGTGTATCTATCAGGTTTTTCCACAGTCCTACACACAGCCCGAAAAACAAAGCTGTTTGGACTGACGTCTGCTGTCTTCTGTGTTCTTCTCCGTCATCAGGACGCCTATGAAGGAGGTCGAGAACTTCACAATATTCATCAAAAACAGCATCCGCTTCCCCACTTTCAATTACACCAAGTACTGAGCTTTTCCTAAAGATGCTACACGCAATGATGATGCTGCCACAGTGAGGTCTGAAACGTGTCGACTGTTTGAATGTCTGCAGGGGGAACTTCCTTCCTTCAATCAACAAAAGTTACATTCAGTCCTGTAACTTCGACATGGTCAACAACACCTACTGCCCCATCTTCAGAGTGGGAGACGTCGTCCGCTACGCGCAGCAGAACTTCTCTGATCTGGCCGACAAGGTGTGGACATCTTAAAGTTGTTTTTAAGCAATCCGAAGTCACCAATCCTAAGTCATCCATTCCAAATGATTGTATGATTGATATTTTATTCATGCAGCATGTTATCTTATCTGCACCAAAAACAGGGACTTAGCTTTATCAAGCAGGTAAATTGAAAGTAAACTCCATTCAGTTGAACTTATTGCAACCCTGTAAATCAAGAAATAAGTTATGTGATCATCATCTTAAATCAGTCTCCCAGTCTCTCTTTACTCAGCATACCTAAAATTACCTTTAACCCCAACGCTAACTATGTAAAAGTGTGTACCCATTTTGTGTGTTACATACAGAGATGTATAAAGTACTGGAGTAGAGGAGTGGAGTAGAAGTACAAGAACTATTTTTAAAAAATCTACTTTAGTAAAAGTAGAAGTGTTCTTTCACCACCATACTTAGGTGGAAGTACAGAAGTAACTTAAGTATTGCAAGTAGAAGTATTTCACAAATTGCTACTCAAGTACTGAAAGTACTCGTTAGTATGGTGTTGAAAGAACACTTCAACTTTTACTCAAGTCAATTTTTTTATATAGTAATTGTACCTCTACTCCAGTACTTTATACATCTCTGGTAACGAGTAACGATTCAGTCCGTGAAAGTAAAAGTAAAAGTATTAAATTAATCAAAAATATGTGGTGGAGTAAAAGTAAAAGTAGGGCAAAAAATATATATACTCCAATAAAGTACAAATACTGCATTTTGGAACTTAAGTACAGTACTTAAGTAGTTCTACTTCGTTACTGTACATCTCTGGTTACATACGTTTTACCGCTTTTTGTTTTGCTTGGATTTGGTTTCAACTCACATCAAAGTTAATGCATTTCAACGGTCCGACGGATAAAGGAGAAAAGATGGTTAAATCCTTGAAAGCGCGGGATGTTTGACCAGTAATGTCAAACAAAACCTCTAATGGAACCCTTCAAATGTAAAACTCCACATGAGGATTTATTGCCCTGTTTTGGAGGTTGACAAAACAATGTTACAGAATCAAATGAGAATAAAACTTGTATATATTTTAATTAGCTACTGTATATGTATGAAGAACAAACATACTCACACCCGAACAAAACAGAAATAGCACTCTAGGTTATCATAATCAGAAATACTTTAATAATCAGAAATACTTTAATATTATATGTAATATATTTAGATTTTTTTGTTTAGTTATTTAGCTTCCTTTTTTTTTAAATGAAACTGAATGTGTTTACATCTTTACCTGAGAATGCTCCTCCAGTCTGAGAGGCAGAGCTGATAACAGGAAGGTTGGTTTCAATTTCCGATTAATTTCTGGGGCAGAAATGACCCTTTTCAAGTTTTTGTCAAATGCAGTGTAAGTAAATGCCATTTCTTAACCGGCTGTCCGTGTTTCCAGGGAGGCGTAATTGGAATAAAGATTGGCTGGATGTGCGATCTGGACAAGTCAGATGACCAGTGTAAACCTTCGTACTCGTTCACCAGATTGGATGCAATGTCACAGAAAAGTGTGGTGTCACCTGGCTACAACTTTAGGTATCTATCTATCTATCTATCTATCTATCTATCTATCTATCTATCTATCTATCTATCTATCTATCTATCTATCTATCTATCT